AGGAATAAAATTCAATTAAGACTATATACTGAATTGAATGGGAGCCTAACTTTTCTTGACATACTCTCCAATTTGGCTTTAAAACTTACTCTGGGGCCCTGGCCACTGTGGTTCAGTTGGTTGAGCATTGTCCCATGCACCAAAGGGTCACAGGTTCGATTTCCAGTCAGGGAAGATGCCTGGGGTCGTGGCTTGATCCCCAGTAGGGGGCATGTCCCCAGTAGGGGGTGTATAGGTGACCAATTGATGATTCTGTCTCACATTGATGTTTACCTCTCTCTCCCTCTCCCTTCCTCTCTCTCTAAAATATCAATAAAAACATATTTAAAATAAAAGCAAACAAACAAAAACCTACTCTGGGAAAATGACAAATCTGACAGCCACTATGGCTGGGTGGCTCAGTTGATTGTCTTGCACACCAAAAGGTTGCTCATTTGATTCCCAGTCAGGGCACATACCTGGGTTGCCAGTTTGATCCCAGGTTGGGGCAGATATGAAAGGTAACTGATTGATGCTTCTCACAATGATGTTTATCGCTTTCTCTCCCATTCTGTCTCCCTTCCTCTCTTTAAGCATGTCCTCGTGTGAGGAATAAAAAGAAAAAATAGCCATGACTCAATGTTGCCCCATTATGCAACATTTTTCTAATTTAATAAATTGATCTTCCTTGTATGATCAGATAATAACATGAAAAATATTGATTTTGGTTATAGATTATAGTTGGATCTTGGAACCTCCTTAGTACCATGTGCAGGAGGTAACACTTGTTTGTTTAACATCAGTTTAGGGCCAGTTTCCCTCACAGACTTGATGAAGTTCATCAGCTTTACCGGCTCCTGTGGACCCTCACAATGTTCTCTTGTGTCTGTGGTTTATCACCTGCTATTGGGGCCCAAGGAGAGAAGATCACTGGAAAGAAGATGTTGCCCCAAGATCAGCAGGCATAAGCCCTGACTTAGCAAACCCTGGGCAATGTGAAAATAAAGTTGTGGCCTCAATCCATTGGAAGAAGAAAGGCAGATGCAATTGTGTTCTCTGGAAGGCAAGGCTCTGAGTACACAGTGTCTCATGTTTTCAAAGTGGGAAAGTTTCCACAGCTAATATTTGGATGGGCCCACAGCAGTATCTTTATCCCTGAAGCTTGGACCTGCCCCGTCAGAGATAAAGGGCCCTTGCTGTGCACCTGCCGAGAGGAAAGCAGGGCTAGCCTATTCTATGCTCTTCTTGTTTTAAGCATAGTTTTGCAAAGAGAGTTCTGGAAGAAAGTGGAACATGGGTGTCTGAGTTGGGTTGTTTTGAAATATACATCTGCTCTAGAGATCCCTTGTCACCAAACCTCCACCCAGGACTGCTGACACTTCCATGCTCTGCCAAGGACAACACTGGAAATGAAGTGTTTGCTGACCCACGAACCTGAGCCACCTGGAACTTTCACTGGTAGAGAAAGTGGGGGAAATGAAAAGAAAGCACTGGGTATGTAGCCTCCTTGCAAGTAGAGCCTCAAGCCCAGGACAACAAATACATGTAAAGGCCTCAGGACTGGGCTAAGCACTGGTACCTCTCAGGGAGCTCCCCCACAATAGTGGGGGGCCAGAATACATGGAAATGTGGCTGGGATCCAAGATGCATGCTGTGGTGGAAGCACAATGGACAGAGATAGAACTGAGCAGGGTGTCCTGAACTGGATGCTGGGAAATGAGAGAAGCACCAAAGTGATGATCCGGTAGGACAAGAAATCACTGCATAGACAACACAGGGGCAAGCAAGAGGATTGGGGATGGAGACAGCATACCAAGTCAAGGAACTAGGATAGGCAAGTGCAGGTACCATGTGACGTGTGAGCATATGCATGTTTGAGCATGAATGAGTACACTTAATGATGGATTTGTGATCATACAGTGACCTGGTGATTTGATTTGCAAAGTCTTATGAAGATTTTAACACTTCCCCTATCAATAGTCATCACATTTTGTTAAAATAACTTTTTAATTGTCAATCTTATTAGATTACTAGAGGTCTGGTGCATGAAATTTGTGCACTTGCGGGGGGGTGGGTCCCTCAGCCCAGCCTGCGCCCTCTCACAGTCCAGGGACTCTACGGGAAGTGGGCCTAAGCCGTCAGTCAGACATCCCTAGTGCTGCTGCAGAGGCGGGAGAGGCTCCCACCACTGCCACTGTGCTCACTAGCCTTGAGCCCGGCTTCTGGCTGAGCGGTGCTCCCCCTGTGGGAGTGCACTGACCACCAGGGGGCAGCTCCTGCGTTGAGCATCTGCCCCCAGTGGTCAGTATGCGTCATACCGACCGGTCATTCTGCTGTTCGGTTGATTTGCATATTAGCCTTTTATTATCCTAATATATAAAAACCCTGGGTCCATCACAACCAGAGGCTTGACTAACCAGAAGTCAGTCCTGCAGTCAGCGCTGGGTTACCATGGTGAGCCAGCACTGACTGTGGCTGCAGGTGCGGTGACCCAGCACTGACTGCTGAGGGGGCTGCAAATCAGGCCCAGAGAGAGGCCTGATGACAGAAGCAGGGTCTGATCTATAGCCTGTGTAGCAGGTGTTGATCAGCACTTGCCTCTCTTTCTCCCGGCAGGGCCAGCAACCGCGCCTCCATTTCTCTCCAGGCCTCCATGAGGGCTGCTGATCAGCCCTGCCTTTCTGATCAGGCCCTGCTGATAGGCCCAGAGATGCTGACTGGCATAGAAACTGACCAATCAGAACCAAATCTGGGTGAGGTGTGAGGAGCCAATGGCTGCCAGGCCAGCAGGGGAGGGCAGCTGGGGGCAACCAGACCTGCAGTGGAGGGCAGTTGGGGGCGAGATCAGGCTGGCAGGGGAGGGCAGTTAGGGGCGAGATCAGGCTGGCAGGGGAGGGCAGTTAGGGGCGATGAGGCAGGCAGGCAGAGAGGTTAGGGGAGATCAGGCAGAGGGGTTGGGGCAATCAGGAAGGCAGGCAGAGGCAGTTAGGGGCGATCAGGCAGGCAGGCAGGTGAGTGGTTTGGAGCCAGCAGTCCCAGATTGTGAGAGGGATGCCCGACTGCTGGCAGTCGGACATCCCCCAAGGGGTCCCCGATTGGAGAGGGTGCAGGCTGGGCTGAGGGAACCCCCCCCCCCCGCACGAATTTTGTGCACCAGGCCACTAGTATAGGATAAAAGTCATGCCTATCTCGGTCAACTTTAAGACTTGACTAAGTGGAGAGCCATATGCCATGTTCCTAGATGAAAAAAAATTATTTTTGTAAAATATAAATAACCCATACATTTTTAATGTGATGCCAATCAAAATCCCAATGTGATGCTTTTGTAATGTGATTCTAGATTAAAATTCTACCTGTACAAGTAAATGTAAGAATATTCATGCCAAAGTTTTAAATGAAGAATAATATTTTAGTCACTTCATAAAACTGCAATAATGAAACAGATGGTGGCCATGTAGGACTAGCTAGATAAACAGTACAAAGTAGAAAATTTAGACACAAAATTTGGGATATATGGTAATTCAGTTATTAGAATGGATTAGACCAGCAATTTTCAACATGCAATACCTGACTATTTAGTCAGGGACACTGACCTGTTTTCCCTATTGTCAAACAATAGCCAACATAGCAATAGCCGTCGGGTTATCCGTCCGGAATGAATAAAAATTATACCTATTTTTTGTCAGATTGGATTGTCAAACAATAGCAAACATAGCAATAGCTGTCGGGTTATCTGTCCGGAATGAATAAAAATTACACCTATTTTTTGTCAGATTGGCAAAAAACATATTTTTTTGTGTGCCGCAGAATTTTAGTAATTAGTTTAGGTGTGCCATGAGATGAAAAAGGTTGAGCATCATTGGAGTAGACAGTTAATGGTGTTGAAATAACTGATTTGTCATTTGGAAGACAGTTCTCAGCACACACAGCAAGTCCATCTGTGAGTCTATCCACGAGCACGGTGGTCTTGCACGGCCAGAGGATGTTGCTGTGCAGGAGGCAGTGTAATGTGTCTTCTAGGTATGGCTGTCCAGCCGCCCACTGAATATTCGGGGAACCTATATTTTGTCAAGGAAGTCCTGTGTTGTCTATGTGGGAGTTGTGTTATCTGAGTCTCGTTTTTGAGCACATGGGGCCCACCCTCCAATGGCTGAATTTACATTTGGTGACAGTCTGGTCCTTCTCCCAGGTGAGAAAAAAAGCCAAACAAGAACCAGTTGCAAATGAAAAGTAATTTACAATGAATTTACTGGTGGGATTTTAATGAAAGATTTCTAAATGAAGGATTGCTAAGAATTTTATTCAGTACATTTATAAAGATACAATTTTGAACAAATTCTAGTACAATTAGTTGAGTGCCTAGCAAGGAGAAAGAAAAAGACAGGAAGATCTTTTTAAAAGAAGCTGATTAAAAAATTCTGGAGGTGGAGATTGGCAATAGTTGCACAATAATGTGAACATACTAGTAGTGCTGCTGAACTTTACCCTTAAAATGGTAAGTTTTATGTTATGTATCTTTTACCACACTGGAAAATAAAAATGAGCCCTGGACAGGTGGCTCAGTTGGTTGGAGCATTGCCCTGTACACCAAATGGTTGTGGGTTTGTTTCCTGGTCAGGGCACATACCTAGGTCACAGGTTTGATCCCCAGTTGGAGTGAGTAAGAGAGGCAGCTGATCAATATTTCTCTTTCACATCTATGTTTCTCTCTCTCTCTCTCCCTCCCTCCCTCCATCCCTCCCTCAAATCAATTTTTAAAATGTCCTCAGATTAGGATTAAAATGGGAAGGAAGGAAGGAAGGAAGGAAGGAAGGAAGAAAGGAAGGAAGGAAGGGCGAGGAGAGAAAACATGGAGGCAAACGTAGATTGTGGGGAGGGGCCTACTCCACTCTGCCAGGACTCCCCCCACCTCCTGTGACTGCCTGGGCTGTCCAGGGCTCCTGGTCCCTATTCACAGTGTCCCTGGTCCTGGGCTGGCCTGGGACATGGCACTTTCAGGTCTGTTCCATGTGCTGGGAACTCCGCTTACTAGTAGTAAACACTGTTTTCTTCTTTCTCTCCTAGGTTGCTACGTCCAAGGACTTGTTTGGGTCTCTGGAAAAGCATTCTTAGACATGGGACGTATCATTTGACAAAGAGACTTCTGTCTTGATGTTTACGCAATGGCATTAGTTGTCATATCTACACTTGTTGGTTAGTGGAAGTGTAGGGTCCTCAGGCACCTGAGCAGTCACCGTTGCCCTTGGATAGCATGAGCTAATGCCTCTCCTGTCCCCATTCTCTGGGCACCTTCAAATTGTCCCTGCTCTCCTGCGCCGTCATAGTGTGTATCACAGGCATGAAAGTGCCTGAGTTGTGACTCTCTCTAACTAAACGTGAAGCTCTGTGAGAGGAGAGACCAAGTTGTACCATGTTCAGTACCCACATCCCCAAAATGCTCCTCACAGAGAGTGCCTCGGGCTCTTGCTCAGAGAGTACGTGAAGCCTGAGCCTCTCCATTGTCCTGCCTTTAAGTCGGACACCCAGGTCACAGGTGAGCAGTGATGGACACACACCTGTTGACACACTGGTGTACACTGGAAAACAGTACAACTGCACTGAGCTCTTTCTGTTGAATCTTTGTGTCAAAAGTCCTTTTACTTCCTATGATAGAGTCAGATCGTGGAATCACTGAGTCAAAAGTAGGAGGCTGTTATGGCTCCAGATGCACATATCACATTGCTTTCCAGAGAACACCCACCTAATCCCCACGACAAGCTGTGGAAGCACCTGCCCACAGCACCCTGGCAGGCATGTTGCTCGTTGCGGCCTTTCTTAAACAAAGATCATTATGTCTATTCACCTACTGAGCTTCATTTCTTTCAGTTACAAGGTCAGCTTTTACTGAGAAACCCTCTCAGTGCAAAACACATGGAATCAGGACTTAAGGATTCTGAGCCCCAGTTGCTTTGTCTTCAAAAGGGGCTAAGACCAGGACACCTGCAGCTATAAGCTGGGCCACTCGGCAGGTGGGGTTTGTGAAAACTCATAGAACCTTTATGCAGAAGGGTCTTCGCCTCCACCTAGTCCAAGCTCCCTTTTCAGATGAGGAAACACTTCAGAAAGATGAGGTGACGGTAAGCCAGGGCAGCAGCTTCTCTCCATCCATCCTCACAGAGCTCGGCCTCAGCCCCAGACCCAGAGTGGTCAGGAGCTCAGACAGAGGTCTGGTGTCACATGTTCATCCCTCACACTCTTGGAGATGCACTGGGACAGCTAACCCTGGTCCCAGGGACAGGACAGACAGGCCCACACCAGGAAAGCAGCCTGACTCCACCAGAACTATTGCATTGCTGGCTCAGGTGGCTGCCCCACCTCAGAGCTTCGTCCTGCCTTTCTGGTTAAAAAAGCCCTGGTTTCCTCTAATGACATCTCAATGGAGTGGTTAAGCAATTAAAGGAGTTTCTTGTAGCATTCCTGGCCTACATGTTTACCTCCTGTTTAGAATACTGGTTTATATTTAGGGTGATTCATTTAAAATGGTTTCCTCTTTGCCAGCTTTCCCTCTGCCCTCCCACCTAGTTTCTTGGCCAGTTCCAACCTCTGGAAGCTTCTGGCTAGGATCAGTATGGATGGAACTGCTAAACAACAACATACACAATGGTGAGTCCTCCAAGTGTTTGTAACTTTGGGACATTTTGGTGGGTGACATTTTGAAGTTATTGTGTAACATAATTTTCTTACTTTAACAGCAGAAGAAGCAAGCACTATTTGATCCACTGAAGCTCCTGAGCAGAAGTGTCGATGGAATGAGAGTCCCGGGGCTGCGAGGGATAAGCACGGCTTTTCCTGGGGCAGCAGCGAGCCCATCCCTGCAGCCAGGATGTGATGAGAATGAATGCTGTGAGGGCCTGAGGTGGGCTTGTGTCCTGAATGAGCTGCAACTCTGTTCACTAGGAAAGAAAGCATGAATGAGTGACATGACCTAAATATGTGCCCAGACCTACAGATGACCCAAGGCAGATAATTCTACCTTTTGTGCTAAGATCCCCTCTATAAACTGGGAGAGATAAGTGTCTTGAGTATGCACTGCCTTCCCTTCTAGAGGTGCTGGGAGAACTTGCAGAGAGCTCTCTTTACCGTGAATCTGATTATGTCCCAACGTAGTTCTTTAATTACTTCATGAAACCCAGAATCCTAGGAGAAGAAGCTTTTAACATAAAACACAGAACTACACAGAACTACCTGAGTTCCTTCTAAACTTCAGTTTCTGCCAAACTCAGGACCCTCATGGTTGTAGATTCATAAAACTATAAGGCGCTGGAGATGACAGCCCAGTGATGACAGGTGCCTACATCCGTTCCTGCCCTTCATCCCTTCCCCGGATGGGCCCCATCGTCCCAGCCGGCCCCTCTTCCCCTCCGCCTGGTCACAGCCTCAGAATCCTCAACCAGCACCTCCATCAGCTTCCACCCAGGGGCTGCAAGTGGCATTTTGAATGGAAACCTTTTGCCATCCTGATCTTGTCCAGCCCTCACCACTTATAGAAGAGCCAGAGCCCAGAGACACTGATAAAACCAGGAGGAAACCTGGACTCACCACTACCAAGTGGCAGAGCCAGGAATGGACCCAGGCCTCTGACTTCCAGCTCCACATCCACATCCTTTTTATTCCTTTAAGGCTAACAAGACCCAGCGTTACTGAATTTATTCAACAAATAGTTGTAGAGAGCCTACTAGATACCAGGCAGGCATTACACTCAGATAAACCACTGATCCCTCTTGGTCCAGCTAGAGTGATTTCATAAACCATAGGCCTTCTTTCTTTCACTCAGCATGGGCTGGATCAAAATTTAGATGATAGATAGGTGATAGATAGATAGATAGATAGATAGATAGATGATAGATAGATAGATGATAGATAGATGATAGATAGATAGATAGATAGATAGATAGATAGATGATAGATAGATAGATAGATAGATAGATAGATAGATAGATGATTTGTGGCATTCTTGTCCCAAGGACTTTAGAAATATCTCTCAAAAAGAAGTTTACAAAATTAATAATAATAAGATAATTAGTTACTACTACCCACTACCAGTTGTCTTGGATTATCTGGGGTTTTTTTCTGTGCTCTTTCCCTAGGTATTGTGCTGTAAGATTTTCTTTATAGAACAAGACCATATATAGTTTTGATGGAAAAACTACTATGGGAGGAAAGTGAGCACATTGCTCCGAGTCTTACATCAACGTTTAGGAGAGAGAAAAAAAATCTAATCATCATATCTCTTAGTTACATTTAAATTATCAACCAGAAACAAAATGTCAGTTGAGGGTCAGCTATACTAGTATGTCTTCCCCTGGTTATATTATAGGAAGAATAGCATTGAACCAGGTATTAGGACACCTGAGTTCTCGTTATCTTCCTCCCTGAGGCAGCTTGTGACACCAGGTGAATCACTTTAAGATTGATGAGCCTCTCTCCTCCTTTATAACCTGCCTGCCTGGCAATGATAATCCTGTTATTAGGATTAGTAATAATAATAACTCCCACTCACATTATGACTTACCCTGTGAAGCACTCTTTCACAACAGCCCGAGAGGTGGGCAGGGCAGTTGTAATTACCACCAATTAAAGGTGAGAAACCCAAGGCTCAGGGAAGTGAAGTAACTCACACAAGGCCACCCAGATGGAAACTGGTGGCTGTAGGAGTGAGATCCTGCTCTCTGCAGAATGCGTTCCCATAGCTTCTTTAGGGCAGCAGGGTTGAGACTGGAAACCTCTTCACCCCCAGAGTCCTGGATGCACAGGGGTTGCTAGTTCTCCAGGCAGCTCTCAAGACCTTGGAAATATTAGGGCGGCTCTTGGCAGGTTTTCTGGTACAGAGATTAGGACAGGATGTTTTCAGTGAGCAGCTTCTCTGCTGTGTGCACAGACTTCTATGTATTTGCTGCAGTCGGCTCCACCTCTCTGCCATGTTGTCCTTAGCTGTTTTCCTGTAAAAGGCACAACACACACACACACACACACACACACACACGCGCGCGCGCGCGCTTACAAACATAAATTTTAGTAGAATGGCCTTCCATCAAAATCCTTAGACTTGTAAACAACAGCCTCTTTAAGAATTTGGTAGATCATGTCCTGCAGACAGATTCTTGCAGCACATTGCCCAGGAAAAGACCAGAGGAAGAAACAGAAAACGCACACCATGTTGATTCGCAGTCTCTTGTGGGGCTGGCTCTGAGGGGCAGGCAGTCATGTGAGATGAGGCAAGGTGGCAGCAGGGACCACCACTGCCATCCCCGGATCCTTCGGGAGTCTGTGCTCTGAGTGAACCTGCCCCCAGTGCAGACACTCTCATCTATGTGATTACAGATGTCACTGTGAGGTCACCCCCACCACCCCCAGGGCCTAGGGGCTGCTAACATCCCCAGCATATGATGAGTTCTCCGCTCCTGTCCACTCTAAAGTAGAGGCTGCAGACCTTAAAAAATAGCTGGTGAGAAGACAAGCATCCATTTTAGCCTCAATAATATTTTTAAACTGAATGTTGATGAAATAATATGGATAAAATAAACACTGATGAAACACTGGATTGGGTGAGAAGATACCCATCCACACTTCCCCTGGATTTCTCCTGGGGGCATATTTGACCGGGGTATATCTGAACCCACCTCACTGCATAGTTCTACTACCAGTGTGTTTTGGGAATGTTGATTCAACGTTTTCCTAGTTTTCAGTATTTTGTGATCATTGTGTAAAATGAGGCCTAAGTGTTTAGTTTTTCTGCTTGGGAAGCTGTCAGTGGACTGCAGTAACAATGTCATTTACTTTTTCTTAGAACAATGCTGAGAAAAGAAAAATTGTGATGACAATCATTGCTATTACTAATTGAACCTTTACACAACTTGCATTATTAAATATGAAAAGATAAGAGAATAATGACACTGTTTAATAGAATGTTCTGAGGTAGTTGTGGGTTTTGCTTGTTTCTTTGTTTTTAGCATTTTTGTGTAGCACTAGGAGTCAAAGTACGAATCACAGAGTAGCTGCTTCCAAAGGACTAAGAGTCTTTGGCCTTTTACTTCTGTGTTTTTTTAAAAAATAATCACAAACTCAGCTCTGAAATTGTTGCTTATATTTCCTTCACAAATAACGAACTTTGCATGTGGCTTCAACACTGTACTTAATGGGGTTCTGTTCTTCAGAATGTCACCAACAGGAAATAATCTAATGTCTTAAAGGGGCTAATTTTTTTTCCAAAAAAAGCAAAACAAAACATTACAGCAAACACATTACTAGAAACACCACCATGAAGATGAGGATGATGATAGCACCAAGGAGGAAATGGTTCCACTCTTTGGAGGACAAACGACATCCCAGGAGTGCAAACCTTTTGACTGATGAAATATTTTTAATTAATCCAAGTGGTTTGAGTGTACAAGGTTCCTTTCAATGGCTTTCCCATTTATTTGTTAATTATTTATTTAGAAAAGCCTTATTCTCAGATGTAAAGGGGGGGGGTGGGAGGAAGAATGCTGAGCTTATAACCTCCTGTGTAGGGAAAGGGTTAAAATGGTTAACATCTGACTCAGCCTTCAGAGTACAGCTTAGATATCACTTTCTCCAGCAATTCTCTCCTGAGTCCTAAAGACTGGCCCCAAGGACCTGAGAGCCCCTCCTCCCTGGTACCCAGCACACGCTGGTGACCAGTTTCCCTGTCTGTACCCACTGACTCAGGTCTGCCTTGTTCAGCCTTGAATATTAGAACTCAGTTCAGCTGGTGCATAGAACGCATCCACACATGTGTTAGATACATGAGTTTTAAAATGATATTCATAAAAATGAAATTGGCAAGAGGCAGGGGGCAGCTGGATGATACTAAAGGCATGTTTCACGTAAGTTCTCCTGGGAGACGGAGCTCCAGGAGAGGACGATGGACAGAGGGTTATTGAAACTTGCAAGGGTTTGTGCAGATATGACATGTCCGGTGTGACACTCCCGTTTTTTAAATCAGGCATTTCCACTACAGTGTAATTATGTTTACAAGGGGTTGGGGAGGCTTCGTGCCCTACAGTACCCAGAGCGTCCAACTCAGGCAACACTTACTTCTAGCAAGATTGCTCCTTTTCACCACACATTTATTAACCCTCCTTTTAAAAATTTATTATTTATTTGTTTGTTTGTTTGTTTTGTTAATCCTCACCTGAGGATATTTTCCCATTGGTTTTTAGAGATAGTGGAAGGAAGGGGGAGAGACAGAAAAAGAGAAACATCAATGTGAGAGAGACACATCGATTGGTTGCCTCTAGCACGTGCCCCGACCAGGGCCAGGGATTAAGCCTGCAACCGAGGTACATGCCCTTGACCTGAGTCAAATCCAGGACCCTTCAGTCTGTGGGCCAATGCAATATCCACTGAGCCAAACTGGCTAGAGCTAATTAACCATACTTTAAAAAATGATGGAGAAATATCATTTCAGAAAGAGTGTACAACAGGGCCTGGAAAAGGTGTGGTGCACATGAGAAAATGTCCCTCCTTAAAGAGGAGCTCAGGCACAAGGTGGGAGGATGGGTAAGACACAAGACAGGACCTCAGTAAGAAAGATCACAAGTGGGCCGTGTTCCTTGGGGTAGGCACCCCGCTGGGCAGTTCTGTGTCCAGCCCTGATGTGGTATCTAGAGAACCTGATCCAAGAGGAGGGGACTGGACTAAACCCTTTGTCATGCTGTTAAAAGAATGTGAGACCATCCCAGGGCTGGGCATTAAGGAAGGGTAATGCCTTTTTGTTTAAAATATTCCTGAACCACAGGTCAGAGTTTGGAAATTACTTTCTCAAGGCAGCTGTCCTGGGTGTAGGAGAGGCCTGGCAGGAGACAGAGGATGGTCTAAGCTGAGGCTGGAGATGTTTCAGGCCCAAGGTCAGGTCAAGAGCACAGGGGAACTTCGGCCCCTCAGATTGTTGCAATTAGAGCAGATCAGCAACCAGAAGTCACCCAGCAGACACAAGACATCTGGGAGAGGAAGGGCATTACCGCCAGGGCTCATTATGGCAGGTTTGTGCTTCTAGTGGGGACTGGTGATGTCACTATAGAGTCTATCATGACCCTTTTGTAGAGTCAAGCCTGCAACTTCTTAGTGTAGATGAAAAGCAAAAACACTCACACTTGTGGTTCTCATATCTGCCTAAAATCAGAGGGGCACTGGTTAGAAATGCAGACTCCTGATGTCACCCCAGAATTACAGGCATGCCAGGGAGCTCTGCTGCAGATGGTATGGAAACCTCATTCTGGTAAAGGGAAAACTCTTGAGACGAGGGCGTGGATACATCCCCAAACCCATGTGAGAGTGGCATTGACTTTGACACCAACACCTGGAAGGTAAAGTCTCTTGGCTGTGGAGAAAGTTGCTTTTCTTTTGGGCATTTTAAACACTTGTTTTGTGGAAGAGGAGGTAATACAGGAACTCCATTGCTTTATATTTTTTTAAAAATTGAAAACTAATTTTGTTTTGCTTTGGGGTGAAATGAAGATAGTAATTGGACCTTTTGTTTTCTTGGTTTTGATGGTCCATTTTTGTAAGAAAGTGAATACCAAGCAAAATACAAATGGATGTAGAAAATTCTGCCGAATTCAGCAGTATCCGTAAAAGTAAATACAACTCTAGAAACAGGAAAGCCCCAAGGGACACACACCAGGCCTGCCCCAACCTCAGACACTCTTCAGGTAAAAAAGTCCCACATTACAGAACTCAGCAAGAGCCAGCCGTTATTTTGCCCAATCTCTGCTTTCACATCTTTCTCTAAAAACAGTTTTATTGAAATACAATTTACATACCAAACAATTCACCCATTTAAAGTGCACAATTCAGTGGTTTTTGGAATATTATGCTAGTAACTATTTAAATTGTGGTAAATACATATTTAACATAAAATTTGCTATTTTAACTAGTTTTATGCATACAATATCAAAGAGAAGAGCACAATTGCTGGAGCCTATGGTAAGACTATGTTCAGTTTTGTAAGAAACTGTCAAACTGTCTTCCAAAGTGGCTGAACCATTTTGCATTCCTGCTAGTAATGAATGAGAGTTCCTATTGCTCCACAGCCTCCCCAGCATTTGGTGTCAGTGTTCCAGATTTTGGCCATTCTAATAGTATGCAGTGGTATCTCATCGCATTTCCTGGATGGCATCTGATGAGGAGCATCTTTCATGTGCTTATTTGCATCTGTATATCTTCTTTGGTGAGGTGTCTCATAAGGTCTTTAGCTGCTGTGGGGTACAAACCCTCTGCTTATTAGGAATAAGATCTGTTTATATACTCTTCCCTTTGTTTTTGAGGTCCCTCCCAATGGTGGGTCACCATGCTGGGGGTGAGGTTTTGGCAAGATCAGTCTCTGTCTCTCCTACCCAGCTCTACAGGCCCTTTTGTCCTTTATTGTGGAGCAAGTGTTTAGCTAGTTCTCAGGTTCATTGCAGGGAATTTTTCTGTATGTAGTTGTTTTTGTTGTGTGTTTGTTGTGTTGTGGGAAAAGGTGAGTTCCAGTTCTTTCTATGTTGCCATCTTGAATTGCCTCTTATTGTTAAATTTTAAGAGTTTTTGTATAATTTGGATAGCAGTCCTTAATCATATGTGTCATTTGTAAATATTTTCTCCCAGTCTATGGCCTTTCTTTTTATTCTCCTGACAATGTCTTTCACAGAGTAAAATTTTTTATTTTAATAAAATCCAGCTTATTAGTTATTTCTTTCATAGATTGTGCCTTTAGTGTTGTATCTAAAAAGACTTCACCAAATTCTAGGTTATCTAGATTTTCTCCTATGTCATCTTCTAGGCATTTTATAGTTTAGCATTATACATTTAGGTCTGTGGTCCATTTTGAGATAGTTTTTGTGAAGGGTATAAAGTCTGTGTTTAGATTTCTTTTTTTGCATGTGGATGGTCAGTTGTTCCAATACCATTTGTTGAAAAGATTGTCATTTCTATATTGTATTGCCTTTGCTCCTTTTTCAAAGATCAGTTGACTATATTTACATTGGTCTATTTCTGGGCTCTCTAGTCTGCCCACTGATCTTTTTGTCTATTCTTTTGCAAATATCACACTGTCTTGATTACTATCTATAATAATAAAAACATAATATGCTAATTAGACCGGATGTCCTTCTGGATGTCCTTCCGGACGAAGCCGGGGCTGCGAGGGAAGCCCGGGTCCCGGGTGCCGGCCGGGGGAAGGAAGGCCTACTCTTGCATGAATTTCGTGCATCAGGCCTCTAGTAACTTTACTATAATAAGTCTTGGGATTGCATAGCATCAGTCCTCTGACTTTTTCTCCCCTGTAAACACTGTGTTTAGGTCTTTTGTCTCTCCATTTAAACTTTAGAATCAGTTTGTCAATGTCCACAAAATAACTTGCTGTGATTTTGTTTGGGATTGCATTCATTGATTGAGATAAGTAGAACTGACATCTTGACAATATTGAGTCTTTTATCCATAAACATGGTACTTCTCTTCATTTATTTAGTTCTTCTTTGATTTCTTTCATAAGCATTTTGTAGTTTTCCTCACATAGATTTTGTGGCTATTTTGTTAGATTCATACTTAACATATCATTTTTGCTACTATATATGGCATTTTGAAAAATTTTTAATCCCACTTGTTCATTGCTGGTATTTAGGAAATAAATTCTTTTGTATCCTGCAAAATTTAACTTTGTATCCTGCAATCTTGCTAAATTAGTTCCAGGAATTTTTTGTCCATTCAGATTTCCTACATGGATGATCATGTCATCTCCAATCAAAGACAATTTTATTTATCCCTTTCCTATCTGTTCAACACTTATTTATTTTTCTTATTGCATTAGTTGGGACTTTCATATGATGATGAAAAGCAGTGGTGAGAGGGGACATTCTTGCCTTGTTCCTGATGTTAGTGAGAAAGCTTCAAGTTTCTCATTAATAAATCTGATGTTAGCTGTAAGTTTTTTTGTAGATGTTTTTATCAAGTTAAGGATCTTCTCTATTTTTAGTTTGCTGAGGGTTTTAAATCATGAATGGGTGTGGGATTTTGGCAAATGCTTTTTCTGCATCTATTGATATGATCATATTATTTTATTTCTTTTTAGTCTATTGATGTAATGAAATTACATTAACTGATTTCATATGCTGAACTAGCCTTGAATACCTAGGATAAATCCAAATTGATTGTGGTGTATTTTTCTTTTTATACATTGTTGGATTTGATTTGCTAATACTTGTTTAAGATGTTTATATTTGTATTCATGAGAGATATTGGTCTGTAGTTTTTTCTTTTAGTGTCTATTTGATTTTGTTATTATGGTGATGTTGGCCTCATAGAATAAGTTAGGAAATATGCCCTCTGCTTCTGTATTTGGGAAGAGATAGTAGAGAATTTGTATCATTTCTATCCTAAATGTTTGATAGAAATCATCAGTGAGCCCTCCTGTGCCTCCTGGTTCTTTATTAAATATTGAATCAATTTTGTTAATAGATATAGGCCTATTCAGATTGACTGTTTCTTCTTGTGTGAATTCTGACAGATTGTGTCTTTCAAAGAATTGGTCCATTTCATGTAGACTATCAAATTTGTGGGCATAGAGTTATTTATAGTATTCTTTTATTATCCTTTTGATGCCCTTGAGATCTTTAGTTATGTCTCCTCTTTCATTTCTGATTGTTATTATTTATGATTTTAAGCAATATTGCTTATATCTAATTATTATTTTATTTTTTAAAATATATTTTATTGATTTTTTTACAGAGAAGAAGGGAGAGGGATAGAGAGTTAGAAACATTGATGAGAGAGATCGATCAGCTGCTTCCTGCACTCCCCCCAGTGGGGATGTGCCCGCAACCAAGGTACATGCCCTTGACCGGAATCAAACCTGGGACCCCTCAGTCCGCAGGCCAATGCTCTATCCACTGAGCCAAACCGGTTCGGCTAATTATTATTTTATTTTAATTATTAGTAATTTTTGTGTCCTCTTCTTTTTTTCTTAGTTAGCCTGGCCAGAGGCTAATTTATTTTATTGATCTTTTCAAAGAACCAGCTTTTTGTTTTATTGATTTTCTCTTCTGATTTCTTGCTTTCAATTTCATTGCTTTATGCTCAAATTTGCATTTCTATTCTTCCGCTTACTTTGGATTTAATTGCTTTCTTTTTTCTAGATTCCTGAGAAGGAAGCTTAGGTGATTGATTTTAGGTCTTTCTTCATTTATAACATATGCATTCAAAGCTATAAATTTTCCTCAAAGCACTGCTTTTGCAGCATCCCACAGATCTCAGTAAGTTGTGTTTATAGAATCTGTAATGATTTCCCATCTTTCTTTTCTGTTATTGGTAGTTGCCTCACAAGCTGACCTCCTCTACTGCACTGACTTTCACCTCACCCATCAGCCTCCTACCAGCAGTGTTACATCTTGGATCTTGTCATCCCTTAGACCTGTTCCACCTCTGGAATCTTCCTGTTGGCCTCTCCTGACCAGAACTTATTTAACTTCTACCTCTCCCACATGCTACACCCACTGAACTTGCTCTTCTTCCTGTTAGGAGTTCCTGTTTCTTTACCCCTCCCAATTCTCCCAGTCCCTCGTCAGCCTCCTTTAAAGGTAATTACATGACTCCCTTCCCACTCAGAATTAGACACTGTAAATTAAAGACACTATAAGTTGATCATAATTACATTTAAATTATAATGAGTTAAACTTGACTGTGGAATCCAAGTAGTACTGTTTCTGTTTTTTTATAAGTCTCATAATTTTATGCTATACCATGAATGCTATAAATAAGTAAAAATGAACAGTATAAATGAAAGGACTATTGATTGCTAACACAATTACTCATTGAGAAGGATTTTCACTGCCAAGAACTCTGAATGGAAGTGGTTAAGTGCCTGTTGGTTGGTGAAGGAGTTTCAAGCTGAAGACCATATTGCCATGACAAACCACCAGAGAACTGTCAAAACTAATGGTAGTTTACAGAACATGGCAGGAATTCATGAAAGCAGGACAGGAGTGGATTCTATGAACAGGATCAAATGCCAAAGAAAATGATCTGATTAAAGAATATGCTAGAGGAGAGAACCAGGATGGCGACGTAAGGTATAGTCCTGTGCGTGCTGCCTCCCACAACAACATTGAAACTACCAACTATAAGACAAACAGCTATCATTCAGAACCATGGGAAAGCTGGCCCAGTGGAAGTTCTACAACTGGAAGGAAAGAAAGAAGCAAATTGAGACTGAGTAGGATATGCAGAGGCGCCAAGAACAGAGGTACGGAGTCACGCACCAGGTGGGCTGCAACTGGATGCGAGGTTTTTTTCAATTGGAAGGGGTTACAAACTCTCAAATCCACTGAGCTTGTTTGGGGAGGGATTCTGAGGTCCCAGACCCTTACGGGGAGAGGCGGGACGGCCTTGCAGCAGGTCAGAAAGCAAGGGTGGCTCTCTCATGGAGCTGCTCGCTGGCACTCAGGGACGCAGAGTCACGGAGAGGCGAGGAGTCACGGAGATGCCATTGCTGCTTGCTCCACCCTGGTGATTCCTTGAGACCCCACCCTACTCAATTTACATCCCCGCCCAAGCTGTGCCAGTGGCACAAAAAGAACCACCTGCGCTTTTGCAGCGTAACCCAACAAACTGCAGATTTCAACTCCTCGCACCCATAAGGGACACACTCAAGAAGCAGACTCAGGTTCGGAAGAAGCCGGAGCCAGACCCGGCTGGGCGGGCAACATGGAACTGCTGTATCAGCAAACGCACAAGCAGGTCCACCAGATCCAGTCTCACATGGGACGCCGGGAGACGGCAGACAAGCAGTCTGTGCACTTAGTAGAAAACAAAACCCAAGCAAGCATACCAGATATTCAGCCAGCTAGAACGCCTGGAGATTTTGTCCAGCAAGGAGCCTCCCAACAAAATACAGAATGCCAAACTTCGTGTTGACCAGTTAAAGTATGATGTCCAGCACCTGCAGATGGCTCTCAGAAACTTCCAGCAGGAGAGACAGCGAGAGGAGCTTCTGACTCGCACCTTCACCCTAAACGTGGGATGCGGCACCCCCTGCGAGGCTGCAGTGCCCCCTGCGAGGCTGTGACAGTCCCAGTGAGGCTGAGATGGTCCCAGTGAGGTTGAGACGGTCCCAGTGAGGCTGAGACGGTCCCTGTGAGGCTGAGATGGTCCCAGTGAGGCTGAGACAGCCCCTGTGAGGCTGAGACGGTCCCTGTGAGGCTGAGATGGTCCCAGTGAGGTTGAGACGGTCCCAGTGAGGCTGAGACGGTCCCTGTGAGGCTGAGATGGTCCCAGTGAGGTTGAGACGGTCCCAGTGAGGCTGAGACGGTCCCTGTGAGGCTGAGATGGTCCCAGTGAGGTTGAGACGGTCCCAGTGAGGCTGAGACGGTCCCTGTGAGGCTGAGATGGTCCCAGTGAGGTTGAGACGGTCCCAGTGAGGCTGAGACGGTCCCTGTGAGGCTGAGATGGCCCCTGGGAAGCCGGCGGAACCGCGAGAGCCGCCCAGATGGCTTCGTCGATGGCCCGCGAACCAGCGCACAGCCCCAAGCACAACTATCACCCGAAGGGCGAGAGGAGCAAGAGCAGCTGTAGTGTTGCTTTCTCCTCACTTTTGGTAACGAAATCCTCATTTTAAACATAAGAGGACACATTATTTTAAAAAGCCGTTACGTGTCTCCGTACCCTTTCTGAGTAGAGCGTGAACCAGTTGTGAGAGACCTTTCCGAACACAGGGACACATTGCGGATGGAAATAGCTACATTTTCCATGTGTATGACCTTTGACCCGGCAACAAAAAGCATACACCTATGGATGAGGACAGTGGGGGGGTAAGGGCAGAGGGTGGGGTGGGAACTGGGTGGAGGAGAGCTATGGGGGGGAAAGGGGGAACAACTGTAATAATCTGAACAATAAAGATTTATTTAAAAAAATATGCTAGAGGAAATAAATTTTGAAGAAGTTGGCATCAAGGATGGACATGGGCTGTGCTGGCTACTCCATCCAAGGCAATGGTGCTCCAACTTTAATTCTTTAAGCTATAGAATTCTTTCTTCAAACTAAAACAAAAGCAGAACTATGACTAAAATAAAGTCAGGGATCTGGAGCCTTTTACCCAGTCCTACTGACTTTGGAGGTACTTCTTTAGAATGATCAATATGGGAGATAGTTTGAAAATCATTGGCCTAGGAAATTCACCCTCTCCTCACCCAACAACCATTGGTTGCTATCATAACTGGCCATCAAGTATGAGAATACTACTATTTATTAAAATATTTATACTGGACTACCTGAATATGTGTGGAGTTATAATACACAATAAATAATAGAATCTGGGCACACCTTTCTACTTGTGACTTTTTTCTAGGAAACATTCTCAAATTCTTATCTTTCAAAGTTACTATGTGCCATTGCTTTTTTTCCCCCCTTTAACTCCAGCACCCAGATACCTAAGGTTAGGAGCTTTAATGTTATCCTCTTTAGTATCTCTCTTAATTATTCATCTATTCCTTCAATAATTAATAACTAATTACTAATTATACTAAAGGCCCAATGCATGAAATTCATGCAAGGGGCTCGGCCCTCACAACCTCGGCTTCATCCGAAAGGTCATCCAGAAGGACATCCAGAAGGATGTCCAGAAGGTCGTTCAGCTGTCCAGTCTAATTATTATGCTTTTATTATTATAGATATACATATGTATGCATATGGTAGGCAATTGGAAAACAAATTTGAATAAGGCATAATCTCTGCTCCCAAAAAACTTGGTGTCTAACAGAGATTAAAATCACTAGAAGTTTGCACAGAATGTTATGGGAGCTCAGAGAAAGGGCATCTTAATTTGCCTGATGATCATGAGCAGAGGTCAAGGGATACTTATCAGAGAAATGACAGTTGACGGAATTGTGAAGGTAAGATTAAGATAAAATAAAATTATTTGCAAGAGACATGGAGCAAAGACTAGATTGTGAAAAACTTTGGGCTTTTTCCTCTTGCATTTATATAACATTCTCAAACAGATAAAACTATAGGAATGGAGAACAGATGGATAATTGCTTGAGTTTAGGGCCAGGGCAACTGTAAGGGTGTAGCAAAAGGAAGCTTATTGGGGTGTTAGAACTCTTCTGTATCCTGCCTGTGGTGGTGGTCACACAAATCTAGTCCTGTGTTAAAATTCATAACCCCCTTCCAAAGATTAAACTTACTGTCTGATAAAAAATTTATAACTATTTTTGCAAAAATCATAACTAACTGGTTCAAGGTCAACCATTCAAAGCACTGGGGGAGGGGAGTAATGAAAGAATGTTCTTTTTCTTTTTTTTTGCTACAGTGACTTGTCAGTTTTCTAAACTATTCATTATATCATTACTTTACAAAATATTGCCACATTTTAGTATTTACATTCCTTTTTAATTGCTCTCACAATAATGATGTATTAGAAAGTTTGACTCCCATTTAAAAATAAAACTGGTAAATTTTTATCTTTCTATACCTTATAACCTTTTGCAAAATAATATTCTAAAATGCAGATTTTTAAAGAAATAACTATAAATACTTTATATTTTCTAGAATTGTTATAGAGTGAGTTATCAGTAACTTTCAAATGCAGTCTGTTAGCTGAATATTTTTAATAAACTATAGTACAGTTATTAAAAAAATAATTGGATTTTTTCAATACCAATAAAACTTTTTAAACTGAAAATTTCAAAAAATAACATTTAAAATGAATATAAAAATATCTGCTGATTGTCATCTTTTGCAGTAGTTCTGTTCTATAAAGTCACTGTAAACACTGCATTATTGCTTCTGGGGGAAATAAAGCCTTAGATTCCTTTGAGTCTCTGGTTACATTTTCATTAACAAATCAGTACTTAGCCTGTTTTATGTGTGTTTCTTTTTAAAGACGCCTTTAATATATATTGTTGTTTCATTAACATTGAACTCACAGCCAACAGCTCTATCGCTTGTGTCTGAAAGAAGCTCATCTAACACACAGATTTTCTCCACAGCACAGCCTCGTACTTAGGAACATCAGACAATACTCAGAACTAAGTGACAAAATTATCCCTTCATCCCATTCCTCCCCCCACCAAAACAAACAAACACAACAACACAAAAGTGTGGGAAATGTGGCACTAAATTGACTTTGAAAATGATGCCCTGGTCAGCCGTACATTGAAGGGTCTGGAGTTCCATTTACGACCCTGGGTTGCAGGTTCAATCCTGGCCCTGATTAAGGCACTCATGGGAGGCAACCAATCTCTCTCGCCCATTCTCCCTCTCTTCCATTCTCTCTAAAAATCAATGAAAAAATATCCCCCCCTGAAGATTAACCCAAAAAAAAAAAAAAAAGAAAGGAAGGAAGGAAGAAAGGAAGGAAGGAAGGAAAGGAGGGAGAGAGGGAGGGAGGGAGGGAGGAAGGAAGGAGGGGAGGGGAACTGTGATGGTCTCCCATCAAGGAAGAAAAGGGACACTTATTTACAGAGTTAAAACAAACAGACAACACATCATCTTGTTTGACCTCAGCTGGGAATGTTGGGTAACTCAAAATTTTTGCCATTCTCCACATGACCACAAACGACCATGAAAACACCGCGTCAGCAAGTAGGCATATTTGCAAATTA